CTGATCTAAGTCAGGGCGTGGCTAACTCACAGATTGAACCATGAAACCTTTTCATGTTACGGCATGTCGTACTGTCATTATGACATCATACTGTCCATTGATCAGGTAATTGTCTTTCATTCACAGCCTTAAAGCGGAAGAAACCACCACCCAGCACCTGAATCCTCTTAAACTGTTACACTGTTTAGAGCGAGTCATGTCGAAAGACTCCATGATTGTTGCTGATGGGGGAGACTTTGTTGGAACAGCAGCTTACATTCTGAGGTGAACACTCTTGGTGTAGTCCTCTTCCAACACATCGGAATGCAGCTCAATTCGTAGGACATAGCAATAGGTCTCCAATTCTCAGGAGATTGAAATTCTTTTGTTTTGTCTTACAAATTGAGCTGCTTTGGCATCACATGAATTTTCATGGCAAATGAAATTACGTTACCTGAAAGCTCATATGTGTACCAAAACTAGAAAAAAAATTTTATTGTATGGCACTTAAATACACTGATCCTGCATTCATTGTTCTACATATTTCCAAGATGTCGTATAAAATTTTTGGTTGGTTGAGCATCAGACTTTGGTGTGGGAGGTCATGGTCCGAGTTCCGGCTGGACCAACACTCAGGGTCTTAAAATAACTGAGGAGAAGGTGCTGCCTTTGTAATTTCATCTGCAAATGGTTAGACCTTCAAGTGGCTCAGATGACTACTTTAAATGGCGGTCCTGTCTCTCCACACTCGTCACCTAATAAAGGCTAATAAAGCAGCTTAATCATTATTTTCTTGAATATTTTAGACCAAGAGAACCATTAACCTGGCTGGATCCTGGAGCATTTGGAACCTTAGGGGTGGGGGGTGGTTTTGCCCTTGGAGCCAAGCTCTGTCGCCCTGACAGTGATGTGTGGATTATATATGGGGATGGTTCCCTTGGATACAGTGTTGCTGAATTTGATACATTTACAAGACATAAGGTATTCATCGCTATATTTAGTTTTAATTCTATATTTAGTATGAACTCACACTTTAGCTTTAGTATATCTATTATCTACTTTTAATATTATTATAATATTATCATTAGAAATCAATTTTTATCATATAATTATCCATAAAATACCTATATTCCTCCTCTTCGAAAAACTAACTAACTAATACTAATAACATGTTATTTTCACATGTGAAAATATCGTTACCTTCCGTATTTAAGCTATTAGTTAGTTAGTTATTATAATAAAAATGCTTGTTAAGTTGATTTTATGGATAATTATATAATAAACAGAATATTACATGGGCGCTTGGAGATATGAAACTTACCTTCTCATGTTGAAAATCTCTCACTCGTTCGCTGCGCTTTCTCGTGAGAGATCTTTTCAACACTCGAAGATACATTTCGTATCTCCGCGCGCCCATGTAATATCCTCTATTTATTTTTTTTGGTTCAATTCTAGATTTTACTATTAGCTTATTCTAGATTTTACTAAACGTGGTCAGCTGATCTGACTGGGGAAAAATGTTAGCCATTGAGAATCGAGAACATTTGCAGAACTGAGATGTCACTTTTTCTCTCTCGGATTTCCAGGCCAGCAAATGAAAGAAATAATGCTGCTAATCCTTCGTTTGCAATAGACGTCATAGCCGCCATGTTGGAAGAATTTGACAAAACATTTTTCAATGAATTCTTTTGTCATATCTTCCATCATGGCGGACATCCCTTTTGTTATTGTGCTCTCTTGATATTGATTGCAAACCAAGAATACGCGCTTGATAACCGTGACACAACAATTTTATAATTTGATTGCAATGTTTTTATTCTCGCTTGTCAATTTGCAGTGAAGTCATTTAATTATCACTATTTTAGATCACCTGGCAATAATGTTACAGTGCAAATCGAAAAACCGTGAGCACTCAGAAATATTCCAGGAGTTTTCTATTGTTTTTTAGCCAATCAGAATTGACTTTCTAACCACAAGATAACGGAAAGGTAACGCTTCTGATTGACAAAGAAAAATTCTTGGAATATTTCTAGGTGCCCCTGGTTTTTCGATTGGCACTGTAATGCAGGTAAGGCTAAATGTTTAAAAAAAGTTACTTTCTAACACTTTTTTGCAGACTCCAGTCATTGCGTTGGTTGGTAATGATGCGTGTTGGTCCCAGATCGCTAGAGAACAGGTGCCTTTGTTTGGTTCAAGCGTAGCATGTGACTTAGAGGTAGGATATAATAGTCCCTTTTCTCATATCGTAAATAGCTCTGTGTTTTAAGACTAATCTCCTCAGGCTTAAACGAGATCATTTGCAAATGTCAACTTTAATGTAAAAAATGTGTAGCTTGAACAATACTAATGTTTTGAAATCCCACGGACTTTTAATGGTATCTGTGAATAGCTGACTTATAAACCAGGCTAAGCCTGTGCAAATGAGTCTGTAGTCTTCAAAAACAGGGGTATGCATTGAATGTGAAACTGGTGTATTTACCAAGCATTCCTTTAGCCAGGGCGGAGTGCGATCGTATTTTTTTCCCTGTCAGACCCACCTTGAAATTACTTTTATAGCGGTGCAAAGGAATCAATGCTTCATGATGACTAGAGGTTTTAGCGAGAAATCCAGCAATCTGCGAAAAAATAGTCAAAAATACAACCTTTTCAATGCTGCAAAAACTACGCGAAAGAAATTCTTCTTTCATGCATTCACTGGTAGCCCAAGCTAGGTTTCTGTAGTGTCATGTTATAAGAAAATGTATGGCGATACTTACAAACCTCAATAAAATCGTCAAAATGTGATGCATTCAGCGCAGTGAATGCCGATTATGACGTCACCAGTATTGATGACGCAAAACACAGGAAACCCGAAATGTATTATTCATGTTTTCAACTTTTTTCAGTTTTGAAATAATGGACCCTAAAAGTATCGTGGATGAATGCAAGGCTAACACGAAAATACAAAAGAAAGCACTCTTTTTCGCGATGGGATTTGTGGCATTTCTTTTGTATTTCCATGTTAACCTCGGATTCAAGACAATTTTAAGTAGGGTCCATTTTATTAAGGTTTGTTTTGAGGTTTTACTTCAACTTTGTTTTGAAATAATTAAAGAACTTATGGATATGTTTTTGATATTTTCACAGTTCACAGACTACGATAAAGTTGCAGAAGGATATGGAGGTGTTGGACTTAAGCTAGACCAATCTTCAGATGAAGATATAGAGGCGACATTAGAGAAGGCCATGGATCTTTCTAGTAAAGGGAAAGCAGTGTTAATCAATGCCCTTATTGCTAAGTCTAATTTTAGGGAAGGTTCGATATCAGTGTAATGGTCAAAGTGGATGTCGAGTTGGTTTTCTTGAGCGTAACGCGTAGCAACTGTCTTTGATTATCCTAGTAAGACCTCTTTGCCTTGGGTCTAATGGTTTGCCCATTTCAGACCATGTGTATCATGTGACCATGTGACCATGTGTATCATGTGACCATGTGTATCATGTGACCATGTG